AAATTTGTTAACTGCCCTAGAAAACTGAACCTCTGGCCGAAGTATAGTGAATCTGTGAACAGAGACTGCGAGGTAAAATCGCAAGCTTATCTACTGACAGAGAAAAAAATATTATTCTTTTTGGTTTAACTACTGACAGTTTTGGATAGTGATGTGTATGTTTCATCTAAAACGGGACATCAATTAATTAGACATGACCAGGTATATAATATATCAGTTTCCATAGTAAGCCATTAAAGCTAGCAGAGCGAAATTTCAAGTGAACACAAATATCTGAACCCTTCGGCTTAAAAACGAATGAACTCGTCGTCAAAGTGCTCTTGAGTTGTATCCGCTACTCAGCTAATACGATGTACTCTCTGCGCATGAAATGAGCGTTAACTGTATTAGTACCAAGTTGCCGCTGAATGCACAAAGGAATGGCAATGCTCTCATCCTCTGCGTCTTTCGTGGGTTTATTTCTCAAGCTGCCTATAGACCATCTGCCACATCTACATCATCACCATACTTAGCGAGTTATGAAAATGTAGTAATCAATTATCTGCTAGGGTCTGTCTTCCAGCCTATTCCGAAACTGGAATACTTAGCATGCTTTTACCGGAGAACAATAATTTACACAAATTACTTCCGCAATTTCTTTAAAACGACTGCCCGCAAAATAAGCCAAATAGGCGGGTTCTAGGAAGTACTCGCGAAAACGTAGACAGGGTCACTAGACCAACAGTCGTATTAACCTGATGCTTTGGATCCACACTTCAATCAATTATCAGAGAAAAAGTTAGGTGATGATAATTTATGGTACAAGAGAGGCAGTATTTATAGAATGTCTATCACAATAGGCAACTCTCGAATACATGGAGGATAAGTACACTGAGTGGGATAAGTGTCTGAGCGGGATCAGGTGCTGACATTCAATGAACGTGTAAACGTCGTCTTTCCGGACATTCAATTTAAGATGGAGGGAGAAGAAAGCAACCAGCTGGCCTTCCTGGATGTCCTCGTTTGCCGCGAGGACGGTGGTGGCCTAAAACGGAAAGCGCTCAGGAAAGCAACCAGCACTATGCATGTCCTGAACTACAAGAGCAACCACCCAATCAGTTACAATCGCAGCCGCGAAAGAGCGCTATGCCGGCGCGTTGAGACGCATTGCAGCGAAGTGGAAAACAAAGTTGCTGAATTACAACAC